TGTTACAAAAAACATATTTTTCAGAAATGCCCCAAAGCATGTATCACAGTTTTTAAAAGGACTATTTTCATCTCGGGATACTCAGTGTGGTGTCGTTGATAAAGTGACATGCTAGGAGCCCTGGGTTCAATCCCTGCTTGATCATAAAACCTCACCGGAGGAGAAGAACTAATAAAATTACGCCATAAATACCTCACCTACCATGTTATCTGTTTCAAGACTTTCTTTCTTAACCAGATGGTCCCAATTAGGGATCACATGTGGATTAAGATAAAATCACGATTCCACAGAAGTAATCACATTTTCTTTCCTAACTATGTCATTTGTTTGAGCTCACCTTGGCCAAAATCTAAGAGTGGTTTTCAGAAAGTTCAGCATTTTCACAAGAATCCAGTCTTCATTTATTCCCACTGCTCATTAAACAAGGGCAAAAAAACCCCCTATTTACTTCTGTAAGATCTAATAACTTTTCAGGGAACAGGAATGAGATCAGATCTTCTCAAAGCTAGAAGGAGCTCCACTTAAAAAAAAATGAGTCTGAAGCATTCATACGATAGTTTCTTAGTAGAAAATACATATCGCAAAACTACAACTTCCAGGACACCTTTACAAAATATTTTAAAATGGGATTGTGTGATGCATTTCCTTCAGTGTAATCTCTTTTTTAAAAAGTCCAGTGCTGATTTTTTTTTCAGGCAGTTTTTCTAGCACAGTTGCATGAAAACAGGTGGCAGAGACGGTTATGCATACAAATGTAGTAACTGTGCTTCAAAGGAGACAGTGGGGAAAACAAGTTCTAATGGTTAAGGTAGCAACAGTTGTGAACCTAGTGTTGTTCACTAGCTTTAGATTTCCTGGCATGAGCTCCAGATAGCATCAGATAAAACAGGAATTATGTAGGAATCGGATAGATAAGGCTGCCTCAAGAGATTGTGCTGCCTGAAACAGAATAGTAAATTTCTTTCCTCCATAGAAAAGTACAAGGTATCAAAGGCAAAGCAAGCTGTTTTGGCAACTAAGGAAGACAATCTCAGAAATACTTCACTCCCAATGTGACAATAATGAATTAAACATCCAACAGGTTTGCTGGCTTTTCTTGACACCCAAATCAGCCACCTGAGATAGGTGCCTTATTGTGCCTAGTAGTAGGGCTGGTCAGTTTTAGTGAAATTACATAATCACACAGACAATACCAAATATGCTGAGGCCATCTAAACATGTCTTAAAGAAGTCTAAGAATGAAAGCAAACACAAACCTCTCAGTCTGATTTTTAAAATTGCTAAATTATTAGTTGGATTCACTAAAAATATGTGATATCTCTATATCATTTACACAATGACACATTGTCAGTCAACACATCAGCACTGATTTTGTGCTGAAAACATTCGTTGGAAAGGAAAAAATTACCATTTTTTTCTCTTGCAGGAATGGTTCTGTCACTCTGCCATTGGAGACCACCAAGTTTGTAAATTTGTACTTGGATTGGTGAAATGTCAATGTCAAAAAATTTAATCAATTTTAAATGTGAGTCTCTCCTCTTTAACCACTCCTCTCCAACCATGAAGACATTTAATGGTTAAAAACACTTTAATGGTTAAAGACATTAAAGACACTGAAGTATCTTTTTAAAATAAAAAAGTCTCTGCTTCAGTTCCTGACCATCCAGTGTTGATACTAATTAACTGCTTGGGTGGCCAATGGACATCTAATTACCCCTCTGCTAGTGGAGATCAAATCTGTAGTACATAGCTACATCAATGATGCGCTAAAAAGACTTAGAAAGATCCAATCATTAACAATTGTGGATTTATTTATTTTTATCAAAGAAATTTACTAACCAGAGACCTATCATAAGAAAAAGAGACATATTTGTGCAGATTAGCTCCTGTTGCCTTCTTGGTGTATATAATATTGATCCCTAAATTGTTTTGTTGACAAAACGGAACATGTTTGTTGATGGACCTGTTCTTCATCATTGCTTCTATTGCTGTATTTCCTTCTCTTTGACATGAACGTGGACTAAGTGGATTCTGCAATGTGAATGTTGAAAGTTCAGGAGAACCTGTTTATTATTTTTATGTATGTATTTGTATCTCACCTGTCAATACACTGCATTGTACTTTCTATGTTTATACAAAACCATAAAATTTTTAAGAACATATCCCTTCCTTTTTTATCTCCAGTGCACATACATACAATGGGTGTTATTGTTCCACATACAGATCATAGGACCCATATCCAGGGGTATCCTGATAGGGCTCAAAGTCCTGCTCTTTCAGCACATGCACATGGGTTTGTGTAAACAGTATATGAACGCTTTCTTAAGAATGAGAGGTACGGATGCACTGCTGTATGCAGTCAAATTGCCTGAGAACACAGCTTCATGAAAACTGACCAAGAGGATGATCTGAATATGGATATAGAAGATGTGTGCACCAACCTCCCATTTTCCCAGACCCCTCTCTTGCATCCTCCCTCTCTTCAAGCATTTCAAGTAAATGTAGAAAAAAGGCTCTGCTGGGCCCTGCATCAAGTCATACGGTGGATACTGAAACACCTATATAGAAAGGGTTACATAGTTGTAAGATCACATTACCAATGTACACACACACATTAAAATAGATTAAGATCTTAATTATTAATATTGAACATTTGGAACCTTCTGATTAAGGTCCATGTTCCTCCTTTGCTGACCATTCCATAAAAATCTGTATCGCTCTCTTGTAGATGCTTCAGAACTTTCCATGGCGAATATTAAATCACATCCTTCTGCACAATTTCATAAATCACATAATCTAACTTTCAAGCCAAGATGAATAGTTTTAGTACATATCATATTTGAAACTGATACGACAGAAAACAGGCATCTTAAGTACATTTGGAAAATGTGAATAAGTAAATGTGTTATATAGCAGGCAGCATATCCAAACTTGCAGAGTTCTCCTAGCAGCATACAGTTATTGAAATGATAGCTGAAATTATGTTGCTAAGTATGGTAAGTTGTAGGTAGAGTAAATCAATTGAATCAATGGCGATATGGTCAGACAACTCCTCTCTAAGTTCCACTGATTCAATGGGCCTACTCTAGTTGTGACTTACTATGCTAAGCAACATGATTCCAGTCAGCATTTCATAAGGAATTAAGAAATAGCATTAAAGAGTTGTCAAAGAGAGAAAAAACTATATTGATTACGAAAGCATGGCAATCAATAAAAATGACGCCTTTGGAAAGTTTTAAAAACATACCAAATAAAAATTCTCATGTGTATATTGAGAACAAAATAATAAAAGTAATTCTAAATTAAACGGCAACAATTTTTTAAGAAATAGCATTAAAGAGTTGTCAAAGGGGAAAAAACTGTATTGATTATGAAAGCATGGCAATCAATAAAAATGACATCTTTGGAAAGTTTTAAAAACATAACAAATAAAAATTCTCATTTGTATATTGAGAACAAAACAACATTTTTGAGACCCTGAGATGGTTACTCCAAGAACATCCCCTCTGGGGATAATAAACCTGTATTTTCTGACTGATTCTGAAAAAGAAATAGGCAACCCATCTGTGATCATCTACTTGGCTCATTATGATTTTAAAAACTAGCAGCAGAATCCTGTCTTTTGTTTTTATAAATGCAGAAATGGAAACAGTTCAGGAAAAAGAAAGCATGAGTTTGGAATGTACGTAACCCAAGGTTAAGAGCCAGTGATCTACTTGGCTCATTGCGATTTTAAAAACTGGCAGCAGAATCCTATCTTTTGTTTTTATAAATGCAGAAACAGTTCAGGAAAAAGAAAGCATGGGTTTGGAATGTAAATTTCCTATTTCTTTAGAGATTACGTTCCACTGTGTCCCAGGGTGGGAGGAGGCATGTACCCTAAAAAGGAATACGTGTAACATAAATTTAGTAGTTCTGCGTTCCTACCCTACTCTGAAAAGAAACAAACAAGATACTCTGTTTCTTCTTCCCTTTTACCTTCTGAGTGCTACATTAACATGCTATTCATTCAACAAAATGTCTACCACAGTCTTCTTTTTGAGAGGTGATGAATCAATCCATCTTGGTAGAAAGATGCTCAGAATATGCCACTTCCATAATCAAATTTGGAATGTGAAAACTACAATTCCCAACATGTGGACAGTCTGGACCACCGGTAGCTTGCCTATCACGAGAAGAAAGACACTTGAGCTTGGCTGCACGGCACAATAGGAATAAGTGCGTAGACAACCATCCTACAGTTGTTCTTTCAGCCCAGGTATGTAAATACCAGAACACTGAAGACACGGCATGCAGGCAAAGGTAGCCAAAGGCATACCTTTTTGAGAAACATGATGTGGACAGTCTGGACCACCGGTAGCTTGCCTATCACGAGAAGAAAGACACTTGAGCTTGGCTGCACGGCACAATAGGAATAAGTGCGTAGACAACCATCCTACAGTTGTTCTTTCAGCCCAGGTATGTAAATACCAGAACACTGAAGACACAGCATGCAGGCAAAGGTAGCCAAAGGCGTACCTTTCTGAGAAACATGGCACGCGCGGGCGCACACACACACACACACATGGCCAGAGATATCTCACATCCAAGGCCAGACAAACCATTTTGGCAGAAGGCAGGAAACCCCACAAGTGCTTCTTCTCCCCACTCCAACTGTACATCATCACTCTAAATAACCACTTTCTGTTCTTCCATAACACCTCAAAGCAGAACTAGCTCTCCTAACAGGCCAAAGACATGTGGCCTTAGAATACAAGGTTCATTTGAGCCCTGTTCTTTGCCAGCCTACAAACCTTTATTTACGACATTAATTTGAGGGCTACCATTCTTGAACTAATGCAAAACAAGCGGTAACTAGGAGAAGACACACAATTGGAGCTCACATACGTTTCCTCCACCACTACCCCCAGAGAGGATGAGAGGGTGGTGTTCAGTAAGGGCACCTGCTCAGCTCTATTTCATAAAAGAGTTTTCAATAATACAGGAAAAGCCAGCCTTACCTGTAATTGGGACCAAGGCCTGCAGGATAGCAATGACAGTTATCCTCTTCCACTCCATGTTACTCCCCTACAAGTCTGCAGGGTGGGATGGAGAGAAGCTGGAGGCTATAATTTAGCAGTTAGTGGGACAGGAGAAAGAAAAGACACCTTGACTAGCTTTGTTCTTCTCACCACCTCCACAGGAAGTGCAAAGCCTGTTAAGATCTTTCAGAGTCCACCTGCTGGCAGTGTCGTTAAAACACACACACTCCTCTTTTTATGCCACATCAGAAGAAAGGGTTAGAGCTTTAGAAGGTGTGGTGGTGGGGTTATACGTTGGTATTGATATGGAAAACAGGTATTGCCTTTTTTTATAGAGATTTAAACATTCTGCTAGTAGCAAGCAGTTATTCTGGTAAAAGGCACTTAGCTGTAAACCCTCATTTGCTCCCTTTAGTAGATTAGGCATTGGATATTCCCCATGTAACTGCTTTAAATATTAAGAAAAGGTACCTTCAGAACACTGCCAAAGACTCAGAAAAACCCACAACAACCGTTTTAACTTGCATTCTTCCAAGGAGGGAAACTGCTGAGAAAGGTGGATTTTTAAAATGACCTTTTTAATATCCTGGCTAATAGTCGAATCCAAATGAAACTGCAAATTAATATGCAATGGGCCAATAGTACCGAATTCCTTTTCCACAGAAGACATGTGCCCTCATGTCTTTCATCTCCTGCCACTTATTCCTCATTCTTCTTTCAGCCTTGTAAAATGTGTAAACTTCTTTAGTAGGGCGAAGTAGAAAGCTATGACATAGTTTCAGTTTACACAGCTCTCAGTCCACCAGCCATCTTGTAGCCCTATCTCAAACACACAGAACAGAACATGCTCTGTGGCAACCACTGTAACAAATTTATTTTGCTTTTTTTTACCACTAAGTGGTGCAATATAAGCATATTCTGTGAGCTCCTGCTAGTGCTTACAGCAGGGTGACACCTAGTGCTGGCTGCAGGTTTTGTGGAGGAGACCTCAAGTCATATGCCCTGAGTAGACTTCATCCTCCCCACTGTAGCCGGTGTCGCAGGAATAAATTCAGTGAATATGCAGTGGAGGCTATTGCTGTTACTACTGTATTTAGCTGTGTATTCCATCTGACATAATTCAGATGATCATCCACACTCTTGGCCACGTTGCTTTCTTGGACTACAACTGCCAAAACCTAACTAAACTAGAAAGAATTAAGCTAGAATATTTTCTTATAATACTTACAGTATGTGACATCAAGTTGATTCCAACTTACGGTGACCCTTTCCAGGGTTCTCTATCTACTCAGAAGTGGTTTATGGTTCCTTTCTTCTAGGGGTGCCCTAAAGCTGTGCAATGTGCACAAGGATACATAGGCTGGATCTTTTCCCAGGAAGGCACAGTGGGGATCAAACTCTCCAAATCAGCCTAAGATCGTTTCTAGTTATAATATTTCATCTGTGTGTCTGAAAGAATTGGAACCTCTTATTTTCCTTTGATTTCTTTGTCATCTGTTATCATTTTTCCATCTCTATTGTGGAGCTGTGCCACTATGTCTTTTATTTGTCTTTTGCTACTCACATAACTGAAGAATGATTTTTTATTGCTTTAACTAACCTCAGCTCATTCTTGGCTTTTAGCCTTCTAATGCCAGCCATGCATTTCCTTGCTACTTCTCTGTACCCTCTTCTTTGGTGGCTTGGCCGTCTTTCCACTTCCTGAACATGTCTTTTTTTTTTTTTTTAAGATCCTCCCTGAGCTTTTTGTGAAGCCAAACGGGCCTTTTTTTGTCACCTCCCATGTTGTTTGCATTGGTCCATTCTCTAAACTGTTGAGGTCATTTTGAATTCTGATTCTGTCTTCTGATATATTAGTGATCCTTCTAAGTTTGCAGACTTAATGAGCATCCTTACCACTCCTTTTCAAGTCATTAATGAAGACATTGAACAACACTAGGCCTAAAACAGAAACATGTGGCACCAGAAACCTGTGGCACCCCCCCCCCCAGCCTTTCTCTTCAAGGATTATGAGAAGCCATTGGGGAACATTTTGGGGACTGAGAAGAATCCTGTACGGGTAGGTTTGGCTGAGAGGTTGGCCCAAAGACACCAAGTAAGCTTTGTGACTAACCTGGCATTTGAACTTTGCTCTCCCTGTTCCAAGTCCAGTGCTAACCATTACTTATATACTGGCTCTCTCATATCAGTGATGCCACATAAATGGTGCCATATTTTTATTATTTTATTATTAAGCAGCCATATTCTGCAAATAATAAATAATTGTATGCTGCCAACTCGCTTCTTACTTATGGTGACTCTTTCCAGTGTTCTCCAGGCAGAAAATAAACAGTAGTACTTTGCCATTTCCTTCTTTAGGGAGCGTTTGGGACTGTGCAGTTTGTCCTAGGTCACACAGGCTGGCTCTTCTGAGATGCACAGTGGGGAATTGAACTCCCAACCTCTGGCTCCACAGCCAGATACTTACACCACTGAGCTATCCAGTCAGCTATTCTGCAAATAAGGCCACCCATTAATATTGTGCAAATTAGCCTACCTGGATTTGGAGAAGTGGAATATGGGATCCATATATAAAATGAACTTTCTGAGGCAGGGGCCTCATTCTGCTCAGACTAGCCAAGCAGTGTACCTGTGTGTGTAGTGGGATCTTATCCCATTTTCTCAGAATTAAATATAGTGGGCCTCACTTATACAGTAAAATGAGTTGATCCAAAGATATTTTGTAAACAGCTTCATATAAATCCTTGGTCAGATATTACTTACCTGGTATTTTCCAACCCAGGAGCAGGACAGTACCTAGCCCCTTCCCTCTCCATTGCCTTTTCCTCCATCTGAAGAGTGAAATGACTGCAGAGAAAAGGTGCAAACTCTCCACGAGTGAGAATGCTGCAAAAATGGCTGAAAAAGTAACTCTGAAACAGTGATCCTCTTTGTCCTCACCATAACCTTACAACAACCTTTCGTACAATACTAGAAATAACAGCATATACTGTATGTCTTAAGTGCTCCAGTCACTCCACACACCTTACTGAAGTCATCTTTAGCAAAGCAAAGGCGGCTACCATTATTATCCTTATATTGCAGATAAGAAGCTGTGTCTGGAAAGTAATGAGTTACGTAAGTCAATTCATGAGATTTTAACAATGGACTTCCAACATGAGCTTTATCCTCTTAGCCACTGTATAATGTCAGTGTATTATCCACGGGATTATGATAAATTAGCACTAGCTGTGTACTTTATGCAGCTGTTAATTGTGTAGCACTGAGGGGGCATTCTACCAGGCAGTTGTTATGCTACTTCACTCGAAATACTTACTGTACATCAGAAGATTGCCATTCTTCCATAGTGCTGTTCAAGGCAAAGAAAGATGGCTATCTTCTAAATTCCTGAAGATAAACACACTTCTACCTTCAAAATTTTCCTGAGTACAAAACCCAGCAATCCTTTTGGGTTCAGCACATTTCTAAGTGGTAAGTATTAGCACATTTCTGAGTAGGCATGCAATAGGTACAATTTAGAAGACTGAGGTTTACTTTTTTTGGACTACATCTGACCATGGTTGCTGGGGAATATGGGAGTTGTAGCTCAAAAAGAATCTTTCTCCATCCAATTAGAATTCAAAATTCTCAGTTTGAGCCCAAAGTTAGGCACACTCAGGCACATAGCTTTAAAACAACCTGGCATACTTTACTGTGTATCAAAAGTCACACAAGCTGATCACGGAAAGGAAACAGGCATGGAATGTGTTGCAGAAACTGTAGACCCTCACTGTGGGCTTATTTTGGACAGGACTGATGGCGTTGTAGTCCACTGTCATCTGGAGAGCCACAGGTTTCCCACCCCTAGAAGCAAGGAATAGGCAGCCTTTGAACCATTTCAGGCATCAAGAACAGCACTGGTTTAATAGAAGCAAACAGAGTGACCGCCTTTTGGCCAAGAAAAAAAAAAAGATCCCTGCTCATTGGCATGGTCATTCATTTAAATAGATGAACCTGCATATTTATTCAGTGCAACAACAGTGCAGAGCTGGGGGGAAACCCACAATTGCCCATCACAGACAAAGCCGTTGACCTACTGTAAATTTGCCCACTACAAACTACAAATATAAGAAAAAAGCCAGTAGTCTCTCTTTGTAGGGAACAGAAAGGGTGCCAAGGAACTTCCTTGCTTGCAACTTTTCCCATCAGAGGGCGGCTGTACAAAAATGTTGTGTGCTAATGCAGTTCTTTATTATACACACAAAACCATATTCCATTTTGGAATATGGCCAGCTTAGTGCTTTGCAGCAAATGACCAATTAGATATAAGATCACCACCTTTCTCAGAAAAGCACAAGAGAGGGGAAGCCATTGGTAATAGTTTTGTCCTAATTCATGGCCATGCCTGCCATTTTAAAGTTGGTTATTTGTTAACAATGAAAGAGAGCTGGGATGAAACAAAAGGCAAAACACTAGATCAAGGCACCCAAATGATAATTCATATTTTCAGACTATTTACTAAAAAACTTCAAAGCCTCTCAGAGTATAACTAATTTTAATAACATATGAATTGTTTAGATAAATGGTAAACAACAGAAAATAATAGTAGAAATCATTCAATTAAGAAAAGGTAGTGTATTTACAATCCATTCACACATGTTTTGTTCTGCAGAACTTCCGATGGGGCTTATTGCAAAATAACTGTACTGTTGTGAGTTCTAGAAGAGGTGGCTGGGTTAGTCTGTGCCAGTATATCGGACAAAAACAAAATAAAAATTAAAAGGACACCTTCAAGACTGCTATATTTTAATGTGATGCCTAATGAAGTGGACTTGTTCACAAAAGCTCACATTAAAATCTAGCAATTAGACTTCAAAGTGCCACAGTATTTTTGTCTTTTTTTCCTTTCATTTTCCCCCTGATATACTGTTTGAGTTTGGGGATCTGGTTTGAATGATTGTCCAGGACTCCTTGTAGCTCAGAGATTTGGAATGTTTTCTTTCTAGAACCGTATTAGGCATTCTTCAGTCTCAAGAGACTATGGTAATGTGCTCTGAATAGAGGACTTGGAACAGCATCTAGTGTGGCTGAGAAGGCCAACTTGAGAGTGACAATCCCTTCCACACTGAAGACAAATACAGTATGTCCCCTGTCCAGCTCCCTGGTTTTGCTGGTTTGGGGACTGCCTGTTTGCCTCGGCCTGCAGGACAAGGGTCTCTTCAAATTG